TCTCCACAAGTCAAATTGGCCTGGTGTGAAGTGAACCTGCTATTCGTTCATAAACTTACCATTTTATACAGTATTAGCAGGAAGTGGTGGTCATTCCCTGCCTAGACATAATAACTGGAAAAGGTAGTTCAAAAGCACTCATTATTTTCAAACACTTTCACTAATACTTATTCTGAAGTGTTAGGGTACGTTGGTAAAAATATCAAAATGTTAAAACTGATGGCTTCCTTTTTTTTCTTTACTAGAAAATAAAAATTACATGTATTTATAACTATACTGGAAGTCCAATACAATGGATTAATATTTCTGCTAACTGCTCTAACTTAACATCTTTTTAGCTTTAGCAATAGCAATATATTACTTTCACATGTTAAAAAAAAATACCTTAATAATAGTGTAAGGCAAATTTGTGGAAAACATATTATCTTTATTTTACATTTTGGTAAATTCAGACTAAACCAACATTAAATTAACCAGAATTAAGATTAAGGCTCAAGTCTTCTGACTTCTGGCCTAAATTGCTTTCCCGGTTCCCCCCACTCCCCTGCCTATGGCTGTCTCCCACAAACTACACAGATTTTCTTAAATCTTCTAACACTACTGTCTAAAATTGAAAGCTTTACTTCTGAGGATTACAATACAGCATTTCATATACTGAGACTGGAATATAGTATGAACTGAATAAAATTCATTTTTAGAAAAAGGTGAAATTTAATATAATGATAAATATATTTAAACTGTGCATTAAAATGAAGAAACTTCCCTCTTGTATAGAAGATGAAACTTGCAAAAAATAAACTTTTGGTCTATCACAAAATAAATATTCATTGGTATATTAGAGAGGGATTCTCCACACTATTTCACTTTTAAAATGGACTCTCAATTGTTCTTTCATGCTTAAACGATTTTAATTATTAAACCATAGTTGAAAGGAACTATCATATATTAATTTTTCAGTGACTTATCCCGAGAGTTACTAAGGTGTACATTATTCTTATACCAAATAAAAAATATTTCTGCACAAAGATTTCTGCTGTATATTTTACATCAGACTTTAAGAAAACAAACCTTACATGTAAATATATCTTACATAAAAGTCCTCTAAATTCATTTTAAAATTGTGTAGATACAGTTAAGTACTAAAACAACAAAACTCATCTGTTCGTATACATTGGCATATACAGTATTATAGCATACAGCTGAATAAATCAATAGATTATTGTGAAATTGCAAGCAATTGCATACGTGCCTGTGGCATTACCTGGGACAGCTGACCAAAAAATATGTCAGAGGGGCGTGTTACAGTTGATTTCATTACGATGTCTGGTGACCAATATCACTCATAGAGACCATAAAAAAGAACGCGACTCTTTCCTCCTATGAATTATCAATTAGATCTGCTTCTGCTGAGAAGGTTATTCGCTGAAAATCGGTGGCTAAAACGGTATGACGCATGCCTGTTCTTAAACTCCTACAGTGAAGTCTGCAGACCGAAGCCTGTACGAAACCAATACCACAAATGCATCGCCAAAGACAAGATGCAAGATGCAAGTTATACAATAAAAGAGAACCGAGGACATCGGGAAACGTGTTCAAATGATATGTATCTGCCTGGTGCGCAAAAACGTACACCCACGTTTCTTACTACTTTAGATTGCTCCACTGCCTGGTCTACTGTCGCGTATGTTGGGAGATAACATATTTGAAAACTGAGGGAGTTATTAGTCTTGGAAATAACAACTTTGGTATATATACTTAACCACTTCTAGGCCACATAAAAAGGGAGATGCTGAGGTGGGCCATTGCCTCAGCACTGGATAGCCACCTTCAGAGGAGAAATGATGCCATATCTTCCAGGTTTGGGTAAATCTACGTTCGCTCTTTTAAAAAGATGAAAGGTCGCTGGGGCAGCAGGGCCGGTGGCGAGAGCGCCGGCGACTTCGTGCTAGGCACCTTAGGGATCTTCTAGGCTGCCACAAACTCTGAACTTCCAGTGGCACCTAAACCGCAGCTTTCGCTACTCTTATATTTGAGGGGACGGTGGGAAGAAAAGTATCATTGATAAGAGAATCTGATAGCCATTCTCTCTCCTTGCACTGTGTCCCAGCTCGTGTTTCTTCCACGTTCCGTCCTCTTTGCTGCGTGCAGAACCCTGGCTCTGGGCGCGCCATCTCCTGCACACCTGGGTCACCGCAGGTTGGGCACCTGGGCTCGCCTCGCCCCGTCCTCTTCTTCCCCCATCCCTATACCCGGCGGCGAGAGCAGTTTCTCCAGCGCCTGCCCCGGGAGGCGAATACGTGCCTGGCCTTGACTGAGACAGCCAGGGCCTCAGAAGCTCAGTAACACCCGCCCGAAAAAGAGGCTCCCGGGACGCCAGCACCTCCCGCAATAAGTTCATGCCTCGTAGGCGCAAACTCTAACTTCACTCCAGCTAAACGCGAGGAAAATGTAGGGCGCGTCCCACTGGCCTCTCCCGCCTAGCCACGCGTGGTGACATTTCCGGCCCTCGGGCCAGCTAAGACACGGGATTTGCACCGCAGCCTCTCAGCTCGCGGAGCCGGAGCCGAGCTCTCCCGGCGGCTTCTCCAATTTCTCTGCTAAGTGCGAAGGAAATAGCCCCTTTTGCTCCGCGACTGCGAGGCCGGCGGATCTGGGAGCTGCACCCGGCTGGGGAGGACTCGGAGGGCCTGGGGCTCCCCAGCGGCGCCCCGGCGGCGGCTCCCTTGCGAGGGGTTAACGGCAGCCCCCGCGGCCCGGCGGGTGCGGACGCTTCCTCTCCGCCCGCCCGGGAACGTGGATACCGCGCCGGCAGGATGTTCGCCGGCCGGGCCGTGCAGTCAGGAAACATGAGAAGGCC